CAGCAGTCACAGCAATCTTTTGAAATTCTCACAAAACTGCAAGATATAGGAAGAAATTGAAAACATTGAAATCTAACCAGCTCTCTTTGGAATCTGCCTGACAGAATAACATGTATGTTTTTTTGTAGATTTTACCAAACAAGCCAAGTCAAATTTGACACTTTTGCAGCGTATTTACTTGACAATGTTGGAAGCTTTTATGTACCGCAAAATTGGGCATTAAGAAATGCTTCAATGTAGCTTCTTAATAAAACAGTCAGATCTTAGCAGCTTTTATTTCTATGTTCTAATAAGCCCTGCGTACTAATTATCCTCTAATTTATCTGCAAGCTTGCATAAAATGGTTGCAGGATGGAAGAGGCCTAAAGATAAAAATCCATTCTGATAGTTCTCAGAAACATGCCTTCCTGTTTTTTTTTTTTTTTTCGTTTTTATCAGATGCGTTGAAGGATCTGTATGCCACAAAACCTCCATGTCATCTGTATATCCTTATCAAAGTGATTCGTGCTGAGAGACTTTCATAAAGAGGCCTGCAGAGTTTCCTTCAACAAAACCGATACGCTGCTCCTATTGAGGCTGAAACAGGTGGGTGATCAGCTTGTCTTCTCTCAAAAAGACAAGCTGATCACTGAGTGATGATCGCTGATTAAAAGCTCAAAACTCAACTACTTTTAAACGGATGGTCTCTTATCTTTTAGCACAAACCAAGATCACAGGTTTCAGGCATGTCAACTGCTACTGTAGCAACGTCTCTCTTGTTGCAAACGGCATTATGCGTTCTAGTCGAAAGGCTTTCGGCTTTTTTCATGGCAGAGAACATTTTGGTCTTGTTCCTTGACTGCACCTGAACGACAGATGATTTTGCATTCAGGCAAAATCATCTGACATGAAAGAAAACGTCTGCTTCAAAGTTTGAATTTACATAGACATTTTTTGGGGGGAGGGAAATTCCCCAAAAATTTGTCGCTGCTGCAACAAATTGCTGAGAGATAATTGCGCTGTTTTGCCCACCCAGGAGAGTTTCTAAAGGTTTTTTCTTTTCCCCCTTCTCTGTGTTTTCAAAGTTGGACTGTAATGATATTAGCACTAAGTCTTGCTACTTCCTGTTCCTTTACTATAGGACTCATAATTCTGACCTTTGTGATCTCATTCCCCCTCATCAACAAATCAATGAAACATTACATTGCACCTTGTGGCAAAAGTTTATTTTGAGTTTTTTGTATTGTCAGACTCACTGGGTTTTAAATATATATATACACATTCTCCATTTAACCCAACTCTGATTGTTGTAGTCTTTCAGGATTGCTATTCCATTGGCAATCACTTTAAATTTAGGCTCACATTGTTTTACACACAATGAGACTATTTATCATCAGAAAGTCCTTTAAGTAGACCCACTTAATGTGTTTTAGATAAAGAACATCCTAAATAGACCCACCTACTAAATGAAATAGGTAAAACTGTATTTCTAATATGGTTACAGTTATTAGTATCTGATCTTATATACAGTAGTTACTTTAGGGGACAAAAGTTGTGAAATACAACTGTGCCACCATGTCCCTGGAATTTGTCTGTTGTTTAACTTAAAGTCTTTTCATGATTCAAACAGAAACGATGCAGGTTCAGGTTCTGCTGTGTGTTCAGAATTAGAAAAAACTCAAAGTTACCAAGTGGCACGTTTCCACGTTATGACTGAGGTACAAAACCACATCATTTGCATAGACAGCCTGATCTTCTCCCCCTGAAACAAGCATATAAAAAGGGATGTTTTCAGAGCTTTTGGCACTTCTCTTCAGCAGTTCACCCAGTCTGTGACCCCATCATGTTCCTCTTCTGCAACCTGGCTGTACTGATGCTTCTACTGACTTTCGAAAGTCCAGGTGAGTCTCTGCCGCCGTCTGTAAATGTTAATTACATCAACGCTTTATTGTGCAAGTTTAAGCTTCGTTACATGTTGTTTTTATATATATATTTCTTGGTTTTTATAATCAAAGAGGAACATTTCTTAAGATTTATTTTTGTCTTTTCAGTGACTTAATTTTGATGGTGTTAACAGTTTTGTCATTATCATCACCATTAACTTTGTATTTTTACCAAAAACAAGTTCATGCAGGGACAATCATTGGAGGCCATGAGGTCGATCCACAGAAACGGTCGTATATGGTGTTTTTGCGGATGATGACTGCTGATAATAAATTGGAACGCTGCGGTGGATTCCTTATTAGGGAAGACTTTGTGATGACTGCAGCTCACTGCAAGGCCAAGTCAGTGTGACATGATTATACATTTTATTCAAATGAATGGTTGGAGGCAGATGAGAAAAAACAACTAACTTTCCCCCATTTCTGTTTACTAGGAATCATGAGTCTTATGAAGTTTTTTATGGGTTTGACGAACACAGTAAAAACCATAAAAAAGTGTCTGTGAAGAAAGAGTTTCCACATGAATCCTACAATAACACTGTATTCACACATGACATAATGCTGCTGAAGGTATCATTTATATTTATCTGAAACTATTTTAACAAATAGGAAAAACATGTTCTTTATATCTAATGTTTTCACATGTACAAAATTGTAAAAAAAAATAAAAATACAGACTGCACATATTGCTGTCTTTTTTAATGTTTAATACTATCTCCAATTTTTCCTTCAGTTGTCCCATAACGTAAGCTCGACCCACCATATCAAACACATTGAACTGGCACAGGAGGAAAGTAGCTCACTGCCAAGTCCGTGCTCAGTCTGCGGTTGGGAACTGGAATCAAATGCAGACATGCCTTCAAAGCTGATGGGAGTCAGTGTCACACTTGTTGAAAATGAGGATTGTGTCAAACAACGTGCTTACTGCTCTAGAGGAAGAACAGGAACAAGCGGGGTAATTTTTTCCCCCCCTTTTTTTTTTAAGTAGAGAAAAAAATTGTTCAAAGTAAAATATTAATTTCAATGTTTATCTTATTCACTCCCAACATTCTGTGTATGTGCTTACAGGGAGACTCCGGAGGTCCATTGATCTGCAACGGACTGGCGTATGGAGTGGTGTCAGCAAGCAGATCAGTCAATGGTTCCACTGAGTACAAGTACACAAACATACCGGACACCATTGGCTGGATCAATAACATCCTGAAGGAAAACTGAAACGGCATCTAAAATATCACCTTCATCAAACCATTTGACAATTAAACACATTTTTACTGCATAAGTAAAAACCTGATGATTTGTTTTATTTGGTTAAGTTTGTTGGTGTTATAGTTCTGTATTTTATACTGAGATTGGCTGCTTTTTAAGTGCATGCTCTGATCATTATAGTAAATGCTGAATGAATAGTTAATAGTGTATGTTTGAGAGAAATGTTGGCGTAACATTAAGTAATTTAGATTTTTGCTACCAATACAAGCCTTAAGCAAAATATTGCTTTGTTCGTGGTATTTAGATAGAAGCTTGAGCTTTTATAGATTGATGTGCTTAATTTCAAAAGTAAAGCAAAGTGCTGGTTTCTCACAATCTGCCATGTGTTTGTCGTCTTTTAACAAGGATATACACAAATTTATATACATTTAAGTAAAACAGATCAGGATTAACAATGCTTTGGGTAAATAGGGATTTTTTTTTTTTTTTACTTCATAAAAAAAAAATCACTCGAATAAGTTGGGGTTAACAGCAGGACAAGAAAAAGCGCAGCCGTAGCACCAAACCACGAGCTGCTACACGTGGTCTGTGTGAAAATAAACCCAAAGCGAACAAAGAAAGAAAGACGGAGAAGTAAATGAAGTAAAGTAACTTTCAGATAACCAATTCATTTAGTAAGAAAGTGACCTTTTTCCTCTGAAGGCAATAAAAACAAAACAAAAAAAAAAACTTTCCCAAATATTTTGGATTCTCAAAACTTTATAACAACAATTGTTTTAAGAATTTTTTTTTTTTTTCTAAATCACTTAGGTTAACTGCCTAAGTACTTTCGGATACCAGCGCTCAACACTTCCAAAGCACAGACGGTGTTTACACCGGCGTACAATTAACAAACCAGTCAATAAAAATGAAACCATTGATGTTTTTGCACCTCAGAAGTGATTCAATTCAGAAAACAATGAACTTTCATCATGTTCATCCAGTGATGAGCATCATCATAAGTAAAGGGTACGAGCAAGAAAATCAGTTCATTCTCTTAACTCTTGTATAGTTCATTTTCTGTATGATTTTAACATTTTTATGTTCAAAATTGCTCAATTTGCACATTGCCTGTTTAAATAGATGAACTGCACCGCCTCATCTCTGGTGGTTGCGAGTCAAACACTGACTGATCCAGATGATTGGCACAGGCCCAATGCTGCCTCTCTTTACACACGTGAACAAAATTGTTGCTACCCTCCTGTTAATGAAGAATACACTAATATTGATCACTGAAATAACTTGAAAATGACAAAGGTAATAATAAATAAGAATTTACTGAAAATTAGCTCAGTATGCCAACAACTGGAGAAGTAGTTGGTATATTATTGCAAAACTTTTTTTTTTGCACGTAAACACGCACAGAATAACAGTTTTTGTCATTCCGTTGTGTTTATTGTTGATGTTTTTGATAAAGGTAACATAGACGTACCCAGGTACAGAATTTACTATAAAAATAACAAGTAATGCACACTTAGTGCTTTTAAAATAAATAAATAAATAAATAAGAAAACTCTTAAAATGTCCAAGTTATTTACTTGACTCGTATTTGATTAAAAATACAAGAATATAACTGAAGGTCCTGACAGAGAAAATATCCCCTGGAACTTTTTAGATGTGAAAACAGTTTGTGAGGAAGAACCAAAATCAAAATCCACATAGAAAATGTTTTGAATTTGTCTTAAGCAAAAGATGCTTTTAAAAAGTTTGTTCAGTACTTTCATACTATGTTTTTTGTTTACAGAGTTTAATTCTCTAAAGTTTTATATGTATGTGAGAATTATGTGGGTATTTGCTGACATCTGATTAGAAACATGAACTTGAATTAGGAAAGCAAATATTTTGCTTCTTAAGCACCGTCTTCACAGTAGGCCTGTGTTTGCAACTCCGTTTACAGTTCAGTTGGTTTTTTTTGTTTGTTTTTTGTTTCTCTGGCTGCTTGAAGACTTTGCATCTCTGCAAATAACACATTCAGCAAATATCGCTGATGGCTATCAGGATCTGCTTCCTCTTCTTGACTTGCACAATGTTACAGAAACATATTTCCCACCGGTTAGTTCACAGTGTGGTGATTTTATTCTTTTTTGTACTTTTTCTGCATGCAAGATGTGAATGTTTACAAGTTTTCAGTTTTGTTTCTCTGTACGTTTGTCTGGAGGCTCTCTAGCAAATATGGATTGTTATGCATTTTAGTATGTTCCTTACATTATTAGCTCAGTGAATAGACTTTAAAATACTTCTGTTAGTTTTTAAACTACTGAACAGTTTAGTACAAAAATATATTTAAGATTCTGCTGTTGTTTTATCAGCCTTCCAGACTTCTCAGATCTTCTGGTTCTGTTCTGCTCAGCATCCAAACATGGAGGAGCAGCATTCAGCTTCTATGCACCACAAATCTGGAACAGACTTCCAGAAAACTGCAAAACAGCCGAAACACTGAGTTCCTTTAAATCAAAGCTGAAAAACACACGTTTGAGTTTCTTATCACTGGAACATTCACTAATGTATGTGATACCTATATGACGACAGCACTGCACAAAATGTCATGTTTGTTGCTGGTTTCTCATGAATATTTGACGTTTTCATAACTTTAGATTGTGTTTTCATGATGCAACAGCATCAACAATCTGACATGAGATTAATATCACTAAATAAATTTAAGCAAAAAACTTTTTGGATGAATTAGAAAAAATTAAATTAAACTATTCATATTTTCTGCGTTTACTAGTTGATTGTGGTGCTAACTCTTGTAGTCATGTAATCAATTTAAGGTCAGTTGTATCCCTATATACTTGTTTCATTGTAGTGATAGCACATGTTTGATGCAAAATTTATGGTCTATCTAGTATAGTCTATTTTAAGTATCACTTCTTTTCTGCTTCACTTACCTTTTGAGTACATAAGGAGAAACAAAATTTTGTTGTGTCCAGGATGTCTTATTATATCATTATTTATGATTGATAGATGTCAGGTGTGGTGAGGAGAGACGCAGAGACCCAGGTTGTGATAAAGATGATGATGGATTTAAAGAAGAAGCTCAACAGTCCAGAACAGGCGGCATGGCAGAGAGTTAGCACACCGCTAATTACCGGTAGCAACTGAAAAACTAAGGACTGAAAATGAGAGCTAAACCAACACAGGACTTTCAGTTCTACTGTGATGGCAGGCAGACAAATGACACACATACATTTGACAAGGACCCGACAAGAGACAAAGCCAACAGGTGGACTTAAATACACAAGGGGTAACCAAGGGAACGAGACACACCTGGGAACAATCAAGGGCTGAGAGGACAACACAGAGACTCAGGGAAACAGGACTGAACACAGAAAATCACAAAACTAAACAGAAAAACACGGATCATGACGATAGATAGATAGATAGATAGATAGATAGATAGATAGATAGATAGATAGATAGATAGATCTTCCATGAAGGAGACAGACATGGTATATCTAAAATATCTGCTATCATTATTTTTTTTTAAACAGTGTTATATGTAAAACACTGTCGGTATTAAAATGAAAGTCACAGCATCAGGATACAGTAAGTCAGCATGGTGAGATCACAATCTAACCTTGTGCAGAAGAGCAGCAAGCATCTCTGCTGGTTTCACTTATACACTCAGAGGGAGGAGTTTGTGTAGTTTGTCTAAATGACTCCGAATCTGTTTCAAAAAGAGGTAACGACTAACTTGTGTTTTATTAAACTATCATTTTACTTTGCCCGCTTCTCACACAGCACAAACTCTAATCAAATTGTGGCTTTTATCCTTTAAATCTGATGCTTATGTAGTTTTATGTTCGGGTTTTGATTTTTTTTTTCTTTCAGACTTTCACATGTTTTGTTATGAATCATGACACTTTCTTCCTTTTTCTCTAACCTAATCCAGTGGAGATGGAGCCAGTTGGAGCTTGAGTCTCACAGTGAGTGGAATGGAGATCACCTGAGAGCTTGTTTCTGTGATCGTCTCCCTGCCTGCAATCCACCTTCTCCTTGATGTCACCTTCCTGGATCCAGCCAGCTCCACCGATCCCATGAATCCTCTCCTGGTTGTCTGCTACCTCCCCTTCTAACCATCTTCCTTTTGGAAGGGGCTATATTTCAAAGTACCTCACATATTTGTACCTTTAGCATTATTAACAAGACATTTTCTGAGGGGGCAGAAATCTGGTTGCTGCCCCTCTGCTGTGCTCTGTGATGTAGAGAAGTTTAACATCTGAACAGATTTTTTTAAGTTGCTAATATTTTGTTTGATAAAGTTCTGTTATTCTAATATTATCTCTCAGGGGCAGCGAATTATGTAAGATTAAACTTAAGTCATGAAAAAGGGTCAAAAGAAAAAGATGTAGTTGAATATTGATTATGATTGAGAATGTGAAGTCAAGGGTGCGTAGATTTTTAAAAACAATATCTTGACCTTCATGTTTTTTAACAAGTTTTTAATTTAGATGAATAGTTAGATTATGTTGTGTTTACAACTTTAAGACATCAACTTGAATTGTCATTAGCTTGGTCATCCTAAACGCAAAACCACCACATGGTGGCGCCAAAGACAAGTTGATGACGTTACTCAACTGAGATTTATTTTCCCTCCAGATATATAATCCTCTATAATTATGCCCATGTTAGTCATACCCATTACTTATTTTAAAGTAACCTTTTTTTGATTTATCAACACATTTATTCTGACAGGAAGTGATTTAATTTATTTGCAATAGCACAGCCAGTATCCTGACTTGAAACTGATGGCAAATTAAGAAGAAGATCCTTTGTATGATCAAGAAGAGCAAGGAGAGTCAATCTTCTCCCATCAACCTGGAAGTTCAGAAGATTTCATTGATATCCAGCCTCTAAGTCAACTTTCATCACTGAATAATGTTCAAATTGTTTAAATAAGTGCATCACATTCAATGAGGTTTTGTGTTAAACTAGAATCAGTCAAAAATTAGTTTCTGGGAATGTAGAGCTTTAGCTTTAAATTCACTAAAGGCCTGATGTTTGTTTCTTCTTTCTCCATCAGGTTGGGACAAACCTGGTGGCGTATCCACAAAATGCAACAACCCGTATATCCTCCTGCTGGGGGACAGACAAAAATGCTCCTAGTTTAATGGCTGAAATTTTTTATTGTATTTTGCTCTAAAACAGACTTTTTACATAAAATGTTTTTATAGTTCATCAAATATATGTTTCTGGAGTAACAGATAATTCTGGAGTTGTGGGAACGATGGATTCCAATCACCAAAATATCCAACCTAATTGCAGTAATAGGAAGGGTTTGACTGCTGTAATGCTAATGAGGTTGTTTCTAGTGATGGTTGGAAATAATTTGAAACATATCATATTGTACTAAAACATAAAGGAAAACATTCATGCATTCCTGTTTATCACTGCAGGTCTGCAAGGAAGCTGGTGCCTAACTCCATTTGTCGTCAGGTGGGAGAGTTTGTCCAGGTCATTACAGGTAAAGAAAAACTCTTCAGTTTTAATTTTGAAAGTAGATTAAAAGTTTCTATGTAAGGAAACCCATCAGAGCACTGAATCATTTTTATGAAACTAAATGATGCAACAGGTCAAAAGGCGTCATATTGCTTGGCTATTTAATAGTATGCTGTAGAGAAAAAAAAACAAAAAGCTTGATTTTGTTAAGGAACACAAGCAAAATTAAAAAAAAAAAACTATCTTCTTATTCCAATTAGCAAGAAGCTACACAAAACGGTCATTCATTTGAATTCAGTCTTATGTTGTTGGAAAAAAAGCTGAACAGTATTTAATCACTTATGTTTCATAATCTCATCAATCCATTCTCTGTAGTCGGGTATCTTGGTGTACGTGGTTAGTTTAAGACAAGGATGTTTTGCTGAGATCAATCCAAAGGCTTTTCCATCTTCACAGACTAACGGACCACCAGAGTCTCCCTGCAAGCACAGACACAGCATGTGATGACTGTTCACAGGGAAGAAATCAGTTCAGTTTGTAGTAAGACAAAGATAGGAAAGATGAGGAAGCAGAAAAAAACCCACCTCACCCGGTCCCTTCTCCCCTTTAGAGCAGTACACATTTTTCTCAGGACAGAGATCATCATGAGTGAGCGTCACGTTGACTTCTCTGAGTTTATAAGACATGTCTTTATTGTGCTCGTTCATCGTACCCCAACCAGATACTAGACACTTTTTGGGCGATTTGTTGTCACACACGTCTGCCAGGACAATAGGCTGCACATTCTTGTCGAAAACAACTTTGGTAGACAACTAAAGGAACAACAGAAAATATTTAAAAGACTGTTTAACTTAACTCATAATGTGTTTTGTTTTAATCCTTGTGCATGTCAAAAAAATATTACTTTTATTATTGGAAGTAATAAAAAAAAAAAAAAAATATATATATATATATATATATATATATATATATATATATATATATATATATATATATATTCTTTCATTTCCAGATCTATGTTACCTTCAAAAGCATGATGTCATTTGTGTAATTTGTGTTCTCGTATTTCTCATGTGGAAAATCTTGCTCCACAGACAAACATAACTTATTTTGGCTGGCGAAATCGTGCACCCCAAGACAAACTTCATAAGTCCTAGAAAGATAGAGAGGAAAGAAAAAAGAAAGGAACCAAGAAAAGACAAATGAATGAATTCTAAATTATCCGTAGAGTTTATTGCAGTATAAAGTAACTTAAAGCAAACTTACTTGGCTTTGCAGTGGGCAGCAGTCATCACAAAATATTCACTCACCAGGAACCCACCACAGTATGATGTGTTACCATTGGCACTGTGGCAAGTCAAAAGCGCCATGTACGGCTTGCTGTGAGCTGCAGCCTCATGGCCACCAATGATTCTACCTGCATGGGCTGTTCGACATACTTTTTGTTAAATGTTAAATTAGTAGCAACGATTATTACCATCATTAAAATGAGTCACGATTACAGTGAATGCAAACGTGAAACCACATATGACCAATCCCTTGCATCCCAAAACTTGCATGAGAGAACATCCAACATCAAATATACAGGGGTAAGTTATTCATATTGTAGAGTGTCCTCAACAACGTCGGTTGTTCAAAAAGCTTTTTGTTATAGAAGGACAATGTCAAGAAAAGCATTCCCCCCCGCCCCCATTTTCAGTTCACTTTAATATGCTGCCCTTGTTTGGTTAGAAGACAAGATAGCTGCCCCCCTGTTATTCAGGTGAATAATGGCAAATTTATAAAGCATATAAATGCACAGTTTTTATATACTGTACGATAAGATACTGCAAAAGAGACTCACCTTGACTATTAAAAGTAAGCACAAGCACCAGGGCTGCGAAGTCAGAGTAGATGAACATGGTGAGATCACAATCTGAGACGTTGAGGTGGAGCAACAAACATCTCTGACCGTTTTTACTCGACAGGCTTCCTTTTATCTGTCTGCACATGCAAAATCATGTGGCTCCAGACCACACTACTTCTTTTTTTTTCTTTAATGTTTGCTGATGCTAAGATTACAGTTGTTCTCAGTTATTAAAACACATTTCTCGAGACCATCCATTCATTTATCTCAGTTCTAAACACAAAACCCATGTTATAAACTACTTTCACTAAACCTGCAGTTTGGTTTCTGCAAAACCAAAACTATTACCTCAAAACTGTTCAAGCTGCGCTCAAAACCACAGTGTTGTCAGTGAACAAAGCATAAAAAAAGGAATATGCAATTTTCAGATTACAAAAGACTGTGAAGTAACCTTTATTGTGCACAAATATAATGCATTTCCTTAAAAAAGAAATCCTCTCGTTTAGAACTTGCAGTGAAAAAATAAACAAAAAAACTCAGAATATGGTTTGTGTTTTCATACAGAATCCACTCTGTAGCATCATGTCGGCATGCTGAGTCAGGTCTTCATCTTATTTATGTGGGGAAGCAGTGTGGAAAACTCCTGGTTTGCCAAATCCATGCTAAGCATGCATCCACACTTTTAAGTCTTTACTAGCCAGTTCTATGGCCTGTATGAGATTTTCTTTAATGTAGGGATCCGGTCATAAACTTTCCAAATTCGCGAAAAGAGGAACTTTTCTTTTGGGTGAAGGAAACTGGAAAGAAAATACTATATTTAAGAAATTTTTGGTTGATGTTGAACCGCCGTCTGATCTGGATGACATGGTGAAAAGTCACATTGCCCCACACAATGGCACACAATATCTCAAAGATCACTCCACAATGTCTTTTGACAATTGTGAATTGAATTGAGCGCAGTTATAGCATGCCTAAATGAAACAAGGTAGGGAATTATTTTTTTTCATTCTGAGGAAAAAGATAGAGAAGGTGAAGATGTGAACATCCAGCTTGGTTTTAGTACATTTTTCAAACTCTGCTTTAGATCAGCATCAAGAAAATACCACAGCGTTAAAGACGTATTTAGAAGAGAGACGACTAAATCATCTCATTTAACTACATGTTCTATCCCAGACAGATCATAAGGAAATTGGATTTTATACTTGTGTGATCATTGTGCTCACCCAGATCTGACATTAAGTCCGAGCCTGCAGGTAAATAAATAAAAAAAAAACTGGTTGGTTTAAAAAGCGAATGGGCATTTTTTTCATCGCCTGTTGCAGCAGCTGCTTCAGAATTTTGCAGTTCTTAATTTGGACTGTGTGAGAGTTGTGAAACTGCATTTGTTTAAAATCTTTCCAAGTAACACTTTGAAGGCTTTAAAAAGTCATCATCTCTGACTCATCTGCCACAGATATTTATCATTTTATGCTTAACCACCGAAGAGTGGTTAAGGATGCCATTTGAGTTTGTTAAAGTCTTTCTTCATCATTGATGATATTTGGATTCTGTTTTAAGCCTGACTCTTTTTTTATGTGTGTCTGGGTTATGTTGTGCTATTTCTTTACTTTACCTTGCTCAACAGGAACTTCTGATTGCCATCATCAACCACTTCCTCTGGTTAGGTTCCTAAATGTTGAAGACTAATCTTCCCCTCTACTTTTCAAGTCTTTCAGTTCTTTTCAAACTCTATAGGGGTGATGAGCAGCTAGGGCTCCTATATTTACCACACACCTATTCCGTCATGCCTAATGGAAAGGCTTCTTAAAAATGCATTTAATAAAACCCACATGCACTCAAATGGGTTCACAAGTCATAACCGGTTTAACCTTTGGCGATCTAAATGACTTGTTGAGGTCCTTCTTCTAACATATAAAACCCCCAGAACATTAAAGTTTGGAGAATACAATGGAAATTAATACAGAAAAAGAGTTGCATACGATTGTGGCCCAGTGCAACCGGTAGCAACAGTCGGCCCCATGTTGTCCTAGACATTTTAAACTTTGTTTCACATTTCAAAGTTTTTTCATTTGTGCTATAATAGTGTTATTTTTTTCCTGTTCTCCAAATAACAGTACCAGTCTATCGTACTAAAGCTTCATTTCGCTCAGTCGGGTCTGCAGATCGGATGCTTTCAAAAGGCTCAAACATTCATTGGAAATCGGGGGAGAAATCATTTATAGTAGTTGTGAATTTATGGCTGTGAACTCTGTAAGCGCAGATCATGCCTGATCACTAACGATATTTAAGTCTAATCAAAATTAAATTTCAAACTCGTGGCCCTAACCGCAGAATCGACTGTATTTTACAAGGCTTCTTTTATGTTAACTAAAATATACAGTATGTTCACAAGAAATAAATGCTGAGCTTATTCTGAAAGCGATTTGCATCTTGATTACTGCATTTCTTTCCATTTCCTAGCCTATTTTAGTTCATCTAATCTGGTGGTGGGTGGCACCAACAACCCTGCTTGATTCATCCTGCATCATTAGTCGTTCAGGGTGTTAGTAATCAGCCATTGGCGCCTTTTGTACTTCTTGTTCCACTCATTATCTTTTTTCTAAAAAGTCATATCAGGAAGTTGCATCTAATGTCTTCACTGCTGAAATGGAAAGATTTACAACAACATCCTACAAAGCATTGAGTTTCCCAAACAGTCACAAAGAGGTCAGTCTGTAAGCAGTTTTTTTATGAACATCCTGTGGTTTTGATGTGTTGCATTTAAGGAGCTACACAAGCTACTGCTACCAAAGATAGACTTCGACCCTTAAGATAATAACGTGATTATTGCTGAGTGTAAGACAAGTTCAGTGGGCTTAGAACAAAAAATGCATCTATTCAACACTTCATGCAGAGTTTAATGCCTGCAAGGGAGGAATGCATTAATGAATCGTTCTCCCTTTTTTCTCAGACAGATATTTATACTTTAACCATACAATTGAAATGGGTTGCAAGCAAGAGATTAAAGGAACCCTCTGTAAGTAGGGTGAGACATTTTCAAAAAGTATTATCAAATGTATTTTGAATATAAGGAATTGCCATGAAATGATTTGTGGCAATAAACAATAAACAAGTTAAAGAAAGCATGCCTACACGATGTGCACAATTATTACCCAAGTTGAATTTTAGGAGATTTATTTTATTGTTTAACAACTACAACGGTCTCGGCCAATTCAGAGATGCTAATAATCTCTCAAACCGGAATATTTAAGAAAGTAAAAGTGAGATTTTGGCTTTCTTAGGACAATATCTATGTGCACATGATTACTGGGCAAATATTAGCGTGCAGAATTATTAAGCAACTGATTAAAGATGCCGACTTTTTCCTGAACCACTGCTTGAAATAACGTGTCTTCTAAAACATGGCTGTAGGTTTGGGAGTTGATTTTTGAGTCCATCTTCAACCCAAAAAGGTCCAACTAGCTCATCTTTAATAATACCAGCCCATACCATTACCTCGCCTCCACCTTGCTGACGTCCGGAGCAAAGTGGAGCTCTGTGCCCGTTACTGATCCAGCCACAGGCCCGTCCAGCTGGTCCACGAAGAGTCAGTCTCATCTCATCAGTCCATAAAACCTTTGAAAAATCTGTCTTCATATCTGTCTTGGTCCATTCCTGATGTTTCAGCTTATGTGTCTTGTTCAGTGGTGGTCGGGTTTCAGTCTTTCTTACCTTGGCTTTGTCTCTGAGCTCTGGACATCTTGTACTTCTGGGCTGTCCAGGAAGGTTTCAGTTCTGGAATACGACAGCGCTAGAAGATAACGGATTCCTGGTAGCTTCACATTTGATTCTTCTCCAATCTTTGGCAGTCAAGTCTTTTTTTTCTCAACACGTTTCCTGCGACCCTTTTGATTATTAGCAGCAAAACTTTGTAGTTTTGTAGTCACGCCCCCATTGTCTTAGCCATTTCAAGAATGCTGCATCCTTCTAACAGACCTTTTACAATTTTGGACTTTTCAGAGTCACTTAAATCTCTTTTTTGGCCCATTTTTCCTGAGGAAAAGCTGCCTAATGATTATGCACACTTTGCCATGAGATGTTGATGTTCTTAGGCCCCTCAATCCCTCATTAAACAAATACTCATCAGCTGATATGTTTATATTTAATAAGCATCCAACTACATACAGCTTGGAGTTGGAAAATATGTGCAGAAATGACGATACGGTCAAACTTGCCTGATAATTGTGCACACAGTATCGATGCTTCACAGAAACAAAACCTCTGTGGTTCTTGCAGCTACACGTAAAGGCGATTATCTTCCACATCTGCATAAATTAAACATTTCCAGAACAGGTAACACTTATCATTACACGCACACAGCAGCTAAGTTAAAGAGCACATATCATTTTTCCGAGCATGGTAGCACATAATGCATCATTTCATATCTCATACATCTGCAATTTACTTCCTCTAATGTTCTTCACACTTAATGCGCAGTTGACACTAAGATAATATAATGAACCCACAAGAGGATGTTGGACATGTTTTAACCCTTTAAAATATCTGCTGTTTTACATGTAAAGTGCTCATATAATATGCTATGGATAACATTTATCTTTTTTTTGTTTTATTTTTTTTAATTTAGACAAGGTAGAAATGCTATGTGACCTCCAGGTCACAGTAATGAAAACCACGTGCTTCAGAGATGTCTCCAGTTTTCTGTCATTATTGAAAGCTGATGTAGAGTTTAGAATGTATTTGTGACTTGGACACATATGAACATAATCCAAAGCGAGACCCTCAAAGTTCTGATTGTTTTAAATGGAGTTATGTTGTGAAAGCGTGAGAAGGCATAGAAAGAGAACTTGTACCTTTCTAAACCATCGGCCATCTCAAAAATGCTATGGTTAAAAATGCAAACGCTTTTTTGTTTCTGCAATCTTGGGGAAAACCAAGCCTTGCTTAAGAAAAACTAAATTAAAATTGAGTAGACAAATATTATGCTCTGGCAAGAACATTGTGGTCTGCCAGGAAATAATTCATTCTCATGACGGTGCTGGTAGGCATCTTTCACCAGACAAGTGTAAAACTGCACTCCAGCATTAAAAATGGTCCATCCCCAG